CAGGCAGTATGCTAAACACTTCTACACACAATTTCAAAAACTCTAAGCCCTGAACTACAGTTTTCCAAAATTGTGCTGGCTTAGCAAAATAACCTTCTGGAAAAATGTAACATCCCAAGAATAAATTTTTAATGGATAGAATTGCAGTGGTTTTCACTTTGGTAAAAACTATTTCACTTTTGGGAAGTACAATGGTAATCTGCAGCACTTTTCTCCCTTCCTCTTGATCATGTAAGTATTCCAGTCTGATTCTCAGCAGTTAACTCTGTTGTGTTATCATGAATAAAATCACACTTGAATAGTAGCTGCTAACTGATACCAGAAGCAATATATGCATCAGCTACAAAGTGCCAGAGGAGCATCCTGTCCCTGTGAATTGTGATAGCCAGCGTCATTATTTAAGAATATTTAGCTCAACACTGCTGAAGACCTTCAACTGTCTTCACATAAGTAATTCCTAGAATTAGGAGTCTAGGAGTTGGGAATGCACTAGCTGACTAGGCAGTTCACCAATACACACCCAAAAACAGGGAAAGTACTGAGAGGTACATGCAGGCTGAAAGAACAAAAAGCGAAAGGAATCCAATCCAGCCAGGCTGCGATTTCAGTGGGAAGGGAAGGTCTTCAGATCACCCGAGGATTCTATCTCATTGCTGCACATATTTACTCTGTGCAGTCAAATGTACAAATTAGAAACGCACAGGAAAAAAGCCAAAATTGGTGCATTTGCCTAAGCTCTCGCAAAATCAGCTGTAAACGACACACCCAGCCAGTCAGTGTTTGTGACTGATGAAAACACACCTACCACTTTTAAGAAACTCTCCTCCCTTGTACAGTTAGATGTCGAAGAGGAACACTGTAGAGGTGCAATGGTTGCTTCACGTTACCAGCTGTAAGAACAAAACCTCGAAGTGAAGCCTATGCTCAGAAATGTGGAAAAGAAAAATGACACCTGCACTAGCATCCACACTGTAAGCGTTGTGGTCACAGTAGCTGTACTAACACCTCTGCTGCCGAAGGAGATAGCATGTGGGTCTACCAGTCTAACACACAGAGCTAGACTGCACAGACCTAACCATTTTAACCCTGAATAGAAGCTTCCTTCAACCTAATGCCTTGCACTTTGAAAAAACATTCTTCATGTTAATATTTATTTCTGTCACATATTTTATTTCTGCATTGCATTTCAGGTTGTCCAAAAGGCAGTAATTGAAGTGGATGAAGAAGGAACTGAAGCCACAGCAGCTAGTGGGTCAGAAATAACTGCATTCACAGTGCCTCCTGTCATCAAAGTGGACCGACCATTCCTTTTTATGATTTTCGAAGAAACGTTTAAAACATTACTGTTCATTGGCAGGGTTGTTGATCCAACAGAAATGTGAATAAAGGTAACAGTTTCTATTCTGGGGTATGTAAGAGGCTTTATTTCTATTTTATTAATTTACATTAGAATAAAAAGACAGTGAAATGTGAGAACATAGAAACCTCTTTTGTCTCTCCAGCTAGCAGTAGGTCATCCTATTAATATTTTATTAATGCCTAAGTAACAAGCTAAATTCACTAAGGCTCAAAGTGACAAAAAAGTGTCTTGTAAAACCTACCGTGCAAATTAAAAATACCCCACAGAACTGAACTTTCAAAATTCAACATTTTAGTGATAAATATGAATGAAACCCAGAGACTCCTGTGCCAAAATATTCATGAAGTTCATTGCCAAACACTGCAGCTTGATATTCCTCAATGCTATCTTCTGTTGCGATGAGACTTAAGAGCCTACTGACCTCGATGTTAGCAGAATTTTGCCACTTATAAAAACACAAGCAGGACCAAGCCCTAAAAGAGAATACAGCCTCTGTCTAGAGATCTTTATTTTATTACTGTAGAAATTGCGCTGAGTCTATCATGAAGTTTGCATCATCTGGAGTGTCACCTCTTTCAAAGTATTTATTCAGAGTATCAAATCACCTATTTTCTCAGGGTACATGATGTGCCTGCTTTTAAAATAATCTTTCTATTAAAGACAAAAAAATTCTGAAAAATAACATAGGTATTCTGAAACTGGAAAATCTGAATCTGTACTACTTCAAAACATCAAGCTGGACATCTCCTAAAAACAGAATTTCTGCATGTAATATCATCTAGACATCAGGGTGAACTGCATAACAGGACTCCATGCCTGAACTAAGACAGACTTTGGTAGGAAAAAACATACCTTCATAAATCTAATTCACAGAGTTGATCCTAAAACACAAAATGTGTTGCCAAAATGTTTCAGAAAAATATTTCCACAATCTAAATACAACTCACTTTATTCAAGTAGTGCAGTGATTCCAACAGAAAAGCAAGATTTTTTAACATTTAGTAAATTTTAACTAGCGGAGTCCTATAAATAAAGTATGAAACAGTGCAAAAAAGCTACTTCTAACTGTATATAACTAACAAATCTAAGCATTACTCTTCTTGCTCATACAGCCTTCACAAAATAGTTGCCCAAAAGGGGACAGAAGAGTTTTCAAAATTACTTGGCATAGAAGCTTCAAAGGTGTCTATCAGTAAATGCACAGACAGATGTGTCCACAAGAGAAGATATAAAAAAAAAACCAAAACCACCACATTACAGCACAAAGCTGCTAAACATCTCTAAAAATCACCATTACATGTCTACTCACAGCAACTTAGACACTGGTCTAAGCCACTCACAAAAAGATTTAGCAGGCAGAGTCTGGTATCTGACTAGACTACAAAGGTGCATCTAACCTAGCTCCACTTTGCAGTATGAACATACCTGGAAAGAAAGAGAATCCCTCCTTCCTGCCTCCAAATGATTAATAGAAGGAACACTGCTGTATAGAACCACCCAATTATCACTGTATATTTGGCCTCCAGCTGTTATTCTGAATTGCAGGTAAAATTAATGCTACAAAGGATTCAAAAGCATTCATGTTGTCCAACAGAAGTAACCCAGAAGTAAGCGGCCCCACAAAAGGTTGCTGGGATGGAGGTCTGTAGTGTGAAGGATTGAGGAAAGTATAAACGGGACCACGGGAGCATTGTACAAGGAAGATGTGTAGACCAAAAAAATGTCTAAATAAATCATTTAAAGATTACATAGCAAGAATTTAATACACAGTAGGGTTATTGAGTGGAGCACGCGTTATCAGCATTAAACAAATTAATCAGTTAAAAATGACAGACAAATGACAGCCAGTAAGAAACAAACAACAGACTGCATACAGAACTCATTACATGCTTATTAAGGGGAGAAATAGCTTGGATTCAAGTTTCTGAACTTACTGGTTGTTCTGCATTGCTCTAGTAAAGGCATCTGAGGGTCAAACACAGTTTTGAGTCCTGTTCTGCAGCTGGGTACTGCTGATCTGTGTTTGGTCCCTGGCAGAAGTCAGACTGAGAACAGATTGAGCAGTCTCCTGTGGCCCGTGGGTGAGCAGCTGTAGCTGGCACATTGAGTCAGTTCTCCCTGGGGAACTGGGAGTATCTGCTTTCATGAATGAGACAAAAGCAAAACCTGGGAGGAGCCATTATAGGTGGTCTGTATATCTGCACCAATATTGCATGTTAAACACGATAATACTTGACAAAGCTTTTAAAGAAATGTGTGATTTACAAGATCCTATGCCAGGCTGCAGAACAAACAGAAGACTTGAGTGTTTCCGCAGAATCCAAACAATGTCTGTGACTAAAGACAGAAAATACATCTAAATGCAACTGCAGTGTAAGAAGCCTAAGAATTCAGACAGTAAACCACTGCTAAATCCAAAGACACTTTTTGTCCTTCACACATGACAGCATACATCTAGCATTATTACTATTTAAAATAAATACCTTCTATAGGTAAATGCTTTTATTTATTTTAATTATAAAAGATGCCCTGAGAATTTTTTTTTTTCGAGAACGTGCATGTACAGCATTGTCCTAGGTTTTATTTTGAGTAAACCATCATTCATATTTTTACATTATAAAAAGTAACCACACACGCATATGCATTCACAGATCAGATCATCTTTATCATACACCAATAACTTTAAAAAAAACACATTTCTGATATCAATATATTTATGCTGCTTCCATTTTGAAATAGAGAAGCTGACAATAGCTTCATAGGCTCTCTCTCAAGTATTGGCATAAACGGAACTCTTTAAAATAGAATTGCATTTTTTTCCACAGACAAATTTTGATAGAAACATTAGCATTAATACAAACAAATGCAGATGACATCACTGAAGCATGATAGCTTTCAATAGCAGCTGATTAAAAACTAGATTCATCATTATAAATTATTCAAGTGAAAATACAATCTGAAATACTAAAAATTAAAACAAGTATTTATACAACAAAACTTATGAAACAATTTTATATATATATATATATAATTTGGAGACATCTGCTTTTAGATTGCTTTGAAACTAACACAGGATTTTTTATGAACTTGGTACTTGTAAAAACATTACCTTCAAATTCACAGCACAATGCTACTGAAGTTTATGGTTTTCATAGACTGATCAATGTTTCCGGACTTTGGTGTTAAATTAGGTTTGAAGGTTCTTTAAAATGTGGGATTGCTTTTTAATATTCATAACAATTCCTTCTATTTCTTGCATAAAACATGGGTGCTAAGAATTGCTAAAATTTTAAATAAGCCAATTAAGTAATGGATATGCGCATTCTAAATCCAGGAATTTGAACTACAAAGGCATAATTGAAGAAAACAAAATCCTCTCTTTAGCTGCAGCAGTTAAGAGCACATAGCTGAAGTTATATTTCATAACATTTCACTACACCGTTAGAATTCTGCAACCATTACATTACTTATCAGAACATATTTTACAGCTTGGGATTTTACTTAAAAGATAAAAAGTTTTAACATTGCAAGATGCATTTTATTCACTCCAGGCTTTAGAAAGTCCCATCTGCTGCTCCCACCTTATCACACCAGAACGTTGCTTCCAGTCTCTGGTTCCCTTCTTTTTCTTTCAGAAGATCTAAGAGTTTGATTTTCTGTTTTTTCTTCATACAAAAGAAGAAACACACATAATATGTTGTTGCTACATTATTAAATAACATAACATAATAAATTGCTATTGCATACAACATTTTAATATAACTCTTAGCTGCTGTACTTTAAAAATTACTAGCTGCTCTACTGCACCCACTGAAAAAGCGAAATGGGCACATTCTTCATAAGAACGGTATATTTCTCCATTAAGTTTTCTACAGAAGGTCCTATAGAGATCCTTTTAAGTGAGGTGGTTAAGGCAGTACAAGCAGTCTACTCATGGCTACAAATAGTGCCGGAAGTCTCCAGTTTAACCCATGACAAAATCTGGGAAAGTGGAGATGGGGAGGGGGAAAAGCTTAGAGCTCTTTCCAGTGCAATTTCTAGGGCTTCTGTTGATCATGTCACTTGGGCAATTTCTGCACTTTTCATAGCCTTAATATTTTAATCTTTAAATATACTGTTCTTCAACTTTGCAGAGTTGTAGTTACGTCAATTAACCACTGTTTGTATATGGTCAGAGATCTTTGGAAGAACAGGGCTTAACTTTTAGAACTCTGTGAAAATATTTGCATCAATATTTTACAATATCATTTACAAACAAAGCAAGATAGTGTTGTGTTTCACCCTTTTAAAATTGCTGATTGAACCTTTCATGATAATACACCAGTGTTAAGCTACCCACTAGCTTCATCTTAGAAATGGCAGCTAAATGACATGCCAGTCCCACTGGACCTCATAACTCTTGCCAGCTTAAATGACAGAAGGAAGCTGTAAGTAACCAACTCAAAGTGTGGTAGATCAGCGGCAGAACTACTTCATCTTGTGCTCAACTTCCTAAGCAATTATACGACTGGATGAAAGACATTGCTCTAACATACTTATGCATGTAATTGTTACAACATGGTCACACACCAATGTGTATGTCTTAAAGGTCAGTTGCTGACATCTTATAAAATACTGATGTAAATTTATTATTAAGAAATTTATTTCTATGCAACAATAAATCTACTCCCTCTTTTTACAAGATGGAAGATCTGTGCCCCTCATTCTTGAAGTAGGTTTTAATTGGAAGTGAAATAAAATCAAGCACCATCTGTATGTCTATAGGTAAGACAAAAAATTCTTAAATGCTGTCTATAAAGCTGGATATTTTTATTGGATGAATCTATAAAGTTCTTCAAACTAGTTTTAACCAATTGCATATTGAAATCAGTCACATTACAGTAATGTAAACTCAAGCAAAACTGGAATTCTCATCCTAAAAGAAAATATCTTAATCTCAAACTAAAAATGAGGATTTAAAAGAATATAATGAAACTACATAGCATAACAATACAAGATCGGACTACTTGATGGAACGCAGTGTTTGTGGATCATGTCAATTTCTGCATTAGAAGGATTCATGATCTAACTGGCAACTCTTCAATACAAAGTCAGAAAATCAAAATTACTCTGCAAATTGACTTAAGCAAGGTGTCTTGTGGGATAAAATACTCAAGCGGCGCTCTTCGTGATTCTTCCCTATTTCATAAGGTCATTAAAGCAGGTATTCATCTCTTTTGTGATTCCACTATTAAGTTATATGGGTGCATCCTTAGCCTGATTCTTGCATGTTCTATTGCCCGAGTATTACTAAGGTCTAGCAAATGACACCGAAGCTAATGGTCATTTTCTTGTCACCTCCTTGTGAGCACTGGATCAGGATTTACTTAGATTATTTTTTTCCTCCATCTACATTATTTTCAAAAAGAGAGAATATTTTAATTGGCACACACATCTCTGAAATAGGACAAACAAAATGTTTGAACTCATGAGTATGGAAGTAAAGACCTCAGTTCTCCACCAAAGTAATTTTGGGTTTTGAAAAATTCCTGGTACAACATGAATATATGAAATCAGAAATTCTTCATCCCTGCAAACTGCACTATAATTGTCAAAAGTGAACATTTGCCAACAGAGCAGTTCAGTAGTTTTATGGAAAAGATTACACTTAATCAATTAAATAATATTTTGTCCAAATGTACATAACTTTGAACTAAGAATCATTAATTATATATGTTGATATTTTAATTATTAAACAACATATTACTGCCCAATCTTCCATTCTTCACAAACACTCAATTATTTAGGTAAAGAAACATGTTAGAAGTTACCTTATTCATGTTGCAGAGTCAATAAACTAAAAGCTAGGACTTGCCAGAATGAAGATGGTCAGTGAAATGCTTAACCAGCATATATGTAAATTTACATGATGACATAGTCTAAATATATACTCAATTATTATTTTCTCACAAGTTTT